TGCTTAAAAATAAACATTTAATTGGATCTCTTTGAAGCTTGAATTGACTTTGGGTTTTGTCCCTTCATTTTTGAAATGTTCTTATTTTTTTAAATATTTGCTAATTAGACACTCGGTGCTTTCTATCTAACATTCACCGGACAAGTATTATTTTAATTTTTAAAGTATATTTCAGTTTGAGTTACATCTTTATTTTTGTTTTTGTTTTTGTTTTTCTTTCAGTACCAGGAATCGAACTCACAACCTTGCACTAGCCAGACAGGCACTTTGCCGCTGAGCTAAATCCCCAGCCCCTAGATCTTTGTTATTGAAGTTCATGTGGTTGTGTTGTAGTGATAAATATGGTCTGTACAGTTTGTTCCTGAACAGAATTACACTTTTCCTTGTGATGAAGATTTTTTATTCATCAGCTTGCACAAATAAATACATCATGTTTATTATTCTCTTTCTTTAGATGACACAAAAGTCACTACACCTTACTAAATACTGAATAAGCTCTATTTATATGAGGCCCGATTTTTATCTTATTATTTTTGTCAACTTGTTCTATATTTCTATGCATATTAAAGTCACTCATATGTTAATCATGATTTTGTCAATTTCTTCTTGTATTTTTATGTTACCTTAAATATTCTTATAATTATAGTTTATATAGAGGGCTCACTATTCATGTACATTTGTGGTGAATTTTACTTTCTGTAAATACCAAAAATGAATCTCTTGAAGCTGCTCAAAGTCTAGTTGATACGAAGATTGCTTCCACTTTTCAATTTTTGTCTAATATTCTTCTGTTCAGCCCATAATATGTCAACCTTTCCATATCTTCTTATCTTAGATATATCTCTCACCAATAGATTTCAGTTTGACCCTGCCCTTTAATCAAGGGTGGAAGTTCGTCATGTAAGTAGTTTGATCTTTTCACATGTACTCTGGACTTATTCCCACTGTGCCTCATTTTTAAAATGTTTCTTTGCTGCTTCTCTTTTGCCAAAAGATATTTTTCTTAGATTTTTTTTCTTTAATAATTCACAAAAAAGGAAATCTTGCTTTTACTTCAAGAATGGTTTTTATATTCCTTTTTTTTTTTTTTTTCAAAATCTTGTATTTTTTTTTCTAGTTAATTAACACAGAGATATTCAAAAATTGCAAAAATTTGATAGTAGGGAAGACCTATTCTGGAACTGGGAACATTCTTTCTAGCTGGGCCTACCTATAATCCCAGCACTCTGAGAGACTGAGGCAGCAGGACTGCAAGTTTGAACCCAGCCTGGGCACTTACTGACTTAGCAAGACTCTCATCTCAAAATAAAAACAAAAAAGTGCTGGGGATGGAGCTCAGTGCCAAGGCCTGGGTTTAATCTTTAGTGTGGAAAATGACATTTGGTTTACATTTTCCACAAATAGGACTGCACAGAAGGAAGGGCCAGCTTGAACTACATCTTCCCAAGGACAGAGAGGTCTTCTAAAAACTACTCTCATTCAATGTCTCTTCCCAAATAAAATTCAAATTTAATTTTAACACACATTTACTTCTTGCCTTCTTGTATCATTTGCCAATGTTTGCTTTTATTATCAAACAGCTAACCAGATAATTAGTATTAAACAATTTTCTTAAATTACACATTTTTGCTTTCAATAGTTATGTTTTGTACTGGGGTTACTTTTTACTCATATAACCAGGTTATCTACACTCTACATGTTTTGCTAACTGGTGCTTTTTTTTTTTTACTGTGATTTTCCCTTCGTATTGCAACAGGCTACAGTGTGTCTTCAATTCATTTCTCGGGAAGGGCAAGAGTAGTATATTTTTCAGGTTTTTTTAAAAATCTGAGAAAGTTCCTGCTGTAACCAATTCAAAGTAATACATGTGCACTGCATATTTACCATGTGTCTGGCCCCTTGCTAGGTCCAGGGGACATAGAATAACTGATATAACACAAATTTGTCTAGACTTCACATTACGGAGTTTGCAGACTAAATGGACACTAACTAATAATGTATATTCTCTGGAAAGAGAATATTTGAGTCAAAATACCTTTCCATAAAAATTGCAAAACTGACCCTTTGTTATTTTGTCTTTATTATTGCAGAAAAGTCCATCTGCTCTCCAATTTGTCTGAAAGTAAAATTTATCATGAGAAATGGAAGAACTAAATGCTTCTCCCCAGGTAAATTGTTCAGGTAAATAACAACAACAAAAATGCAAATCTGCTGAGGAACTAAATATGAATTGTGTGTTCCAATAAAATAGATTTAGACTTTTGTACATAAAAAAAAACTCGCTGCAGTTTGATTTTTCTTTGTAGATGAGTTTTCCTCCACCTGGATATATATATAGTCACACATCTTACAATGTTTCAGGTGGACCCACAACATTTTATTGCCTAGTGATACTGTTGCCATCTTAGTTTGTGTAAGTACACCATGATGAAATCATCTAAAAATGCATCTTTTAGAACGTATCCCCCTCATGAAGAGATGTATGGCTTGGATCTCCTTTTATATCTGAAATTTAAGTTCCATTAATTGTGTCTCATACTCCCAGACGCCTTCTGATTTCTCATTGATGACCTTGGTTCTTCTCTGCACTCTGCCCTGCTTCATGAATTCATATACTCATTATATATACATTGGATCTCTTGTGTTCCATGTCTCCTACTTTTGCCTTTATCACTTTACTTTATCCCTTTTTCTCTGAGTTTCTCTAACTTCTCCAGTTTATCTTCCTATAATCATTTGTCCACAGTGCAGTTTTAAATTGTTTGTTTATATATAGCCATTGAAGCTCTTGTTTTATCAGCATTCAAAAAATGTCTGTTCTGATTTCATACATGCAAGAGCTTCCTCATTCTTGTTACAAACAAAAACTAGAAACTTCTTAGACTTCTCTATTCCTTACTGTTCTTTCATTTCACAGATGAGAGCTGCCCTGAGTTCTCAGAACTTGTACCTTAAATCAGCACCTTTGCTTACCCTTGGAGAGAAGGTTTATTTTTGCTCACTGTTAAATTATCTTGGGTTTGTCACTAGACAAATGTTTCAGGCCCAAAATAAAGGATTCAAAGGAAAAAAAAAGGGCATTTCTGAATGCACTTGGTCAGATGAGTTACCCAGCAGTGCAGCTGAAGCCGACTTGGCATCCCTCCTCTGTATGGAAAGTGTCTCTCCCAGTAGGTTTGGGAACCCCACACTTCAGTGGCAGGCTTCCTGTTCTCCACCTGGTGTAACTGCTGAGGGGGTCTAGATAAACACTTTCTCCCCAGCCCAGGCCCTCAGAGCTCGGGAGCAGTAGGGTGAATCTGCTTGCTGGGTCTTTCCTAGTAGTTTTCAGTTGAGTTAGAGTGTCACTATGTCAGTAAGTCGCCCAGGTTGGGTTCAAACTTGCAATACTCCTACCTCAATCACATGGAGTGCTGGTAGACCCAGCTAGAAAGAATACCTCCAGTTCCAACTTTAGGTCTTCCCTATTTTTTACACTTTTGCAATTTTTTCAAGGAAACCTGAGGGTTAAGGATGAGCAAAGATGGCAGCCACGAGGCCAAAGTCACCAGAGTCCCAACCAAGCAGAGAACAAGGACCCAGGTCAGGGGGAGGGGCAGGGTATTCCCCCCACCCTTGAGGCCACTGCTGCTCCTTGGCCCGGGAAGGGTCCTGATCCTACCCAACGCACGCAAGGAAGCATGGTTCAGGGTGCTAGTAGGCTCAGCTCTTGTGAAACGCTACTTGACCTATGGAAGTCTGAGAAGAGCAGATTCCAGCCTTTGTCCCAAGGCGCTTCCTGCTTCCAGTTCCGGCTGGGGCCAAGTTCCCTAACCTCAACAGGAAGAGTTAGCATGACTTAGCAGCTCACTGGCAGCACCTTCTGGCCAGAAGCAAGACTCCAAAGACCACCACAGGCTTTCCCAGGTCACTGTTGTGAAAAGAGCTGTGCATCAGCCTACCTCCTGCCCTAACCACAGAGTTTTCCAGGTCTCTGGAGGGAGAGCCGGTCATGCTTTTATTAGAAAACATTTTTATTTTGGCTTTCTGACTCAAGCAGCAAGGCGAGGCAAAGCTGTGCTATTTTCACATCACAGTTAAAGTAAAATTTCCTATAGCCAGTCAGTAACATCCTGAGACCAAGAAGGTAAATATGTACTTTCCCCCACGCTTTCTCGTTTTTTTTTTTTTTTTTCAGAAGCCCCTGTTTTGCGTAGCTGACAGGAAGGCATTGCGTGGGAACGCCTGTAAATCTGCAGTAACCCAGCCGCGGAGGGCAGCGGCATTCTTTATCTTGCTCCCTATCGATCGCCTCTAATGAGCACCAGTGCAGCTGCGGCTAATGGTGGTGCGTCTGGTGTTAAGGGCAAATGTGGGAGAAGATTATCAACCCAAGGGGCTTAACAGTTGCTGGACGGCCCGAGCCCTCGGGGCGATGATGCACTTGAGAGGTCACTGAATCAAATGAGGGGAAAGATTCAGTGCCTGCCGCCGGAAGAAATGCGGCAGGACTGGATTTTTTTTTTCCAACAGAGACTACAGGCATCAACAAAACCGTTACCTTCTGCTAGTCATTAGTCCCTGACCCTTCGCCCGATAAGAGGGCTCCTACTGGAGCCGCCTCGTCCTAATTATGACTCATCAGACGGCAGCAATCCTACCCAATTAGTGGGGCTTTAGCGAGGGGCACTTGATAGAACAAGGGTCCGAGCCCTATGAGAGACAGGGAAGGACAGCAGCCTGCTGGAAGCAGTCCACCCCAGCCTGCTCCTTACCTGGGGGGCCAGGCTGCCATTTGATCTGATGTGCTTGATATTTCATTCACTATGTTGCCTGGCACCCCACTTGGAGATCTGAGAGGGGCCAGATGAGTGGCCATAAGAGGTGCTGAGGCCAGTGGCCTTCAAGGGACAGCTAACCTGCAGATCCTATAGACTGCTCGCAGTCAAATGTTAACACAGACAGGGAGCCACAGGTATTAGACAAGATAAAAAAAAATGACTGGCAAATGCCTTCAGGGGTCGGGCATGTTGCACATTCTGAACTTTAATAGCATAATGGAGTAATTGCAGCTGGGCAAAGAACCCAGACCCAGCAGGAAGGAAGGGGATGCTGAAGATGGGAAACCAGGGCCGAGGGGAGGGGAGGTGAGCGACAACCCACTTCCTCTGCTCTGCAAAAAAAAAGAAAAAAAGAAAAGAAAAGTTAAAAATGCCCAAACCACTATTTATTTTAATGCTGTAAATAAGCAATTTAAATATTATCCTAGTTCCATAATAAGTAACATGGCAACGTGGTGCCCTGCGGTTATAACAAATTATTTATTAGGTTTTTTAAAATTCTAAGGCAGTGTCTTTGTAACCAGGAGATTTCCATTGGGTCAGATCATTAAAAATAAGGGCGTAGGTCTGCCCTGCTGCAGTAGGGAGCACTGATCTCTGAAAGGCTGCTGATAGCCACATTTTCTTTGTCACTTTTTTCTACAGTTGCAGGACGGTCTTTAAAAGTGGTTATCCCACAAAAGGTCGCAAACCTCCGGAACTCGTCACGTAATGCTTCCAGCCCTTCTTCACACATCTGGCAAGAAGAGTCCAAAAGACCAGGGCTGATTGCTGGAGAAACCCCTCAGGTCATAAGCACTAGTGCATACACATTAAGAATAACGGCTCCAAGCAGCAATAATTTGGAAGTGTTTGTTTCCAGGATCCCTGCAACATGGTGTGGATGGCATGGGGTTTAACAAAGTCTGTGATCAGCTTTCCCAGAAATAAAAATCATGAGGCACATTAACTTTTACCAGGGGAGCATAAAAGACAGCAACAACCGAGATGGTCAGTATTAATGAAAAAGAGTGTTCTTATAAGTAGATTTTCCCTAACAGCCTTGTATACATACCTAGCTGAGGACCCCCTTTCAAGTCCAACGTCAGATGCTACTGAACATGCAGAGAAATAGGAGCTTGGATTCCTGACCCCAAAGAACCCAGAGATTTGGGCAGAATTGAAAACACTACAAGCCACTTGTGATTAGTATCCAAAGGAGGGACACTAACAGGACTACAGATGCTCAGAGGGGCATCCTTCAGTGCTGAAATAATAGGGGAAGAAGGGCCACGAGCACATGGGCCAAGCAGAATGTACTTTGGAGCAACATTAAGAGGCACGGGGTGGGGCAAGGATCCTGACTGGTAGCACAGAATGGGCAAGGGGACAGGGACATTTAAGGACAATATTAGATAGTATATAGGAGATGCCCTCAAATATGTTGATGAGAAAGATACAGAATTAGATGGATCAAGACATGGAAAGAAAAATACAAGAGTGAGTCCTTTAATGTGTATTTTGCTTCATCTCTAAACATTCTGTAGTGAGCACACATGCCCTGAGGATGAGAAATATAATTCCGTCTAAAAAAAAATCTGTGCCACAGAAATGACGAATAGGCTGCATTGGAAGGACAAGTGTCCACAGGTGCAGAAGCTCCACACAGTGAAACTTAAATTTGTCCTGTTGGAAATCTAGCCAGTTTCAAAGTAAGCAGCTTCTCCACTTCCCTGCAGGGCTGCACATTGGGTGACTAGGTCTCTGGCTACCTTGCTTTGGAAAGCAGAGACAGAAGTGGTAGTTGGAAAGGAGGAGCTGGTGAGGATGTGCAGGTAGATCTGATCAACAAACACAGGGAAGCAGAAGTCAAGTCAGGGACCGAGTTTATACTTCCAAGTGTCTCACACTAAGATGGGCAAAGGCCATCTTATTTCTACTCTCAGGAATCTGAATACTGTGGGAAATTACCTGCACCATGTCCCTTCTGTGCAGTGACCCAGGTAAGTTCCTTGTTTGTCCACATCTGTGATGCAAAACTTTGTTGGATGAGTAAATTCTTAGCTGCTATAGTTCAGATTTTCCCATGGCCCTCCTCATCCCTCAGCTCCCAGAAGACCTGTCTTTGGGAGTCCCTTGTGTGCAGAAGCACATCATCTCAGAAGCACTGTGAGGCTCCCAGGTCCACGGAGGGCACACAGTTGGGGTACAGCACCTATTAACAGTGTGTAGTCACATGATAAACATGGCAAGACCAATCAGGGGACATAATCTATGCAAAAGTGGTCCCTTAAACCAGGAGAGATACCCAGTCACAGAACAAAGAAAAAAACTCCTCTGGGCCTCAGCAGGATGCAGACTCCTATCACAGCTTGGCAGGACTGGGTGCCATTTTAGGCTGAGCCACCCCACTCTGGCTCTTTCCCAACTGCAAGCCACACCTCACTAAGTGTACTGCTCTGGAAAGATAGAATGGATGATGAAAGCCCCTGCAGTAGCTCCACTGCGCCCTGCAGGGATGTTGGCTTCCCTCTCCTCAACTTGCCATGTACCTAGGACATTGCTCCATTGACTGTATCAATAGTCATCAAAACGCAAACATGGTCTTACAACCGTAGTTACTGAAGGAATGGTCCACACACAAATGGCCACATTTGTGGCCATTGAAATAGGAAGTCAAAAAGATCTTAGCAAGATAGTGACAGGAGAGGACCAGAATCTTCTGGACCTCCTCCCCAAGTGTGGTCTGGGAAGCCCACCCTGGACATTGTAAGCAGGACAGGGCTTCCAGCGCATCCAGCCCCAGTCAGCTAAAATGCAGTCCCAGGCTCATCCAGGGAGATGTCAAAGAGGTGAGGTGGACACCTCTATAGTGAGTCTGTCAGCCTTCACACAGTGTGAATGGCATTCTATTTGAAGAACGTGCCTTCCCAACTAAGAAAAAATTAGATTAAATTATATAGATGAAAGTAGTTCCTAAAGGCAAACCCCACTTAGCATGTACCATACTCACTTTACTTCAGATCTCCCATTTATATGTACTCTCAACTCTATTGCATGACAAATTAATTAGAAATTGAATGAGGCTAAGGTGCTATAATCAAGTAGAGCTTGTCTTGGTTGGGAAGATAGCTAGATTTGAAGATCCTTGGTGGATTCCATTGTACACAGAAGCTTCTGCCATGGGATAAAACGTTCACAGAAACATAATGCATCTGCTATCATTCTGTTCTCGACCTTTCCATTTTGTCATGTTATAAAACCATGGGGAATCAAGGAATCACAGTTCTGAAAGGAATTTTAGAAGGTAGAGAACCCAGCCCCTTAAATCCCAGAAATGACATGCTCAAGGTTCCAGCAGCTTGTTGAAGGCACAATGGGGCTGTAGCTGGGATTCTCGGGGCCAGGCACAGCCAGTAAAGATTCAGACCTCACAGTCTCATTTAAGGAGATAGGTGAGGTCTTGGCTTTAGACTTAGTCAGCCTCAACAGCAGATTTTACCTCTTCAAGAAGGTCCTTCTGCCACCCAGGACTCATCCTTTCACGTCTGACCATGTAGTGTGGCAGGTCAAACAGCCCAGCCTTCAAGTTGGCCCTGTTGACCTCTTCACGCGTCCCCCTCACTTTCCTGCTCCCACAGTGTCTGATCCACACACTGTTCTCTGAGCACTCTATGTTCTCTCCCGGATCTGGGACCTGGCTCACCATTTCTCTCTGCCTCAAATGCCTTTCTCTCTCGTCAGAGCCTGCAGCCTTTAAAAATCTACTCTTCAGAGTCCAAACACTGAGTATGACCAACTTCAGGAAAGTTTCCTGACACTTTCTCCTTCCCCAGCTCCTGACAAGTGTAGATTCCCTGTGGAGAAGGGATGGTCACAGTACTGTGTCAGAACGGTTGGAGACAAGCAGACTGTGATTCTCTTACTGTTAGAGATAGTTTTTATTTGTCTATTTATCTTATCCTTAGTATCCAACAAATGCCTGGCCCACAGGAGGTGCTAAATAATTGACAAGAGAGCCTATTCATCAAGGAGTAGTACAGGCCAATGTGACTACAGGACACAAAGAAAGAAGTTTTAGGATGGGGTCTAGGAAGGAGCTGTCACAGAACTGCTTGCTTGCTTACTACCATACACTTATTTTTAGAATCTCTGACAAAATTCCTGATATTTTCTTACGCTATGTTATGCTGAAAGAATAGCCAGAGAATGATACAGTCTAAAAATAACTACATTCTATGGGCCATTTGGGTGCATGCACTAGAAAATCAATTGTTTGAAAAGAATTTTCATTCTATTCCTTTATTATCACACATGAAGATAAGTAAATGTGAGAAATAAGCCAAGTGAACTGACAGAGGAGGAGCGTAGTTGAGGGGAGAGGTACTGACACTTCAACATGGAGAGATCTTTAGTTTATCTGAGAATAATGACCAATGGATAGGAAGATTGGTGCAGAGAAACCAAAGGGAAAGTTTCTCCTAGAGGTGGCATTCCTCGGATCCATATCAGAGAATCTAATTGTGAAATCCACAGTCAAGTCCCCAGCAGTGCCTGGCCCATGTGGTTCTGGGAGAGGACAAGGGAGCTAGAATACAAAGTTTGGCACTTGAAATTCTATTTTTACATTGTGTTTCATGAAATACTTGGTTCCCAAACAATGATAAATCACACACACACACACACACATACACACACACACACACAAAAAAAGCACAACAAAAAATGTCAGGTCTAAATTTACAGGCGTGGAAGGATCCTTGTGATTATGCTATCATATGCCTCTGTTAGTCATCGCACAAATCTACAAAATAAAAATCTACATGTAAAACTAAGCATGGACATAGACATGTATGTAAAGAGTAAAATCTGAACAAATTCAATGGGTTGTTCCGATGTTAGTACCCTGGCTGTGATTGTGTACTACAGTCATGCAAGATACTACCATGGAGTAAATGGTATACAAGATCTGTCCGCATTCTTACCACTGATGTGACTCTACTACAATCTCAAAATGAAAAATATTTAATAAAAAAACTAGTCACTACTCAGTTTAAGATTCTGAATAGCACAGAAACCAATGGTCTGAGCTGACCAGTGCGACCAGTGGGATGAGCTTTCGTACCTGTGGCATTTGCAAAGTTATAACTAAATTATTTTGTTGTGCTCTATGCTTTGCTTCCTGTTTGTGCTTCTCCATTCCTTTGTTTTCCTGCTTAGTTATCAGATGTGGTTAATCTGCAGAGCCCACCAAGAGCACCAGTCAAGGCAGAAATAACCAAGTATTTCTCAGAGTCTGAACAGTCTGAGGCACACAGGCAGTCCTGGTGGAAATGAACAGATTCTGTGTGTTGCATGTCCTTTACTTTTAGAAAGCTAGAATCATACAATAACCGAAGAAAGTCTCTGTTTATAAACTAAATGACATATTGGGTCCCACTGATTGGTTTCCAATTGTACAGCAGATGTTTGTAATTTGAGACTTTCACCAACTGAGTGTCTGCCTTGGTGAGTCTGACTTAGATGCTCTAAACTTTTGTTATTTCCACTGCAAGAACTAGCTAGATTTGCTTATCTTAACATCTTCAGGAACCCTAGCTGCTGCTGGTATTTTCAGAACATTTCTAATCCTGTTACTTGAAATCTTTCAGTGTAAAGGGCAGTTTAAAAAAAAGCGGTAAACATGTGTAGTACATCCAGCAGGAATCCAGAAAGGAGTAGCTAAGTCTATATCTCAAATAAGCAAACATGGATTCCCAAACCAGCACAGACCCAATAAGCAGCATGTCCGACAACCTTGCCAGAAGTTAAGTCAGCACTAAAATGGCTCCTAATGTGTAACCTGACACAATGTAACCACCAGGACACTTTTCTAAGTTCTAAGGATAATTCATTGTCTCAAATAACTGAAAGACTCCAGCGATAGAATCAGGGTCCAGCTTTACCAGAGGTGCAACCACCTAGGCCATGCTTCTTTGCCCAGCTGTGTTTTCTTCGGCTTGGTTTATTGCCCAGTGGATTCCTCCACAGCTCCAGGCTTTTGTCCTTCAAGTTCATGGAGAAAGCAAGCATCCTTCCTAGGAGCTCCAGCACAACTCTGAGGTCTCTGTGGGCCCAAAGATGTCTTGAGCTCATTGTCAAGGCAATGTCAGATACGGAGAAATGGAGGACTCCGACTGGATATTGGGGACCTGGCAATTTCCAAGTGGGGCCAGGAAAAGAGAGTGTTGGTTGGACCTCAGAATCTGAGAAAGATTTTTTTCAGGATGAAAACAGACCTGGATTTTCTCTTTTAAAAATATTGAACACAAGAAAGTATATATAGATCAACAAAGCACACTTACTGACTCCTGAGCATTCACCAGAAGACTGATTTTGATAGATATTTCAGACTTGGTTCTATCTTTAAACTTAAAATCTTCCAGATTTGCAGTTCAGCTTCAAACTGTACAGGAAAAAGTATGGTGTCAGAGAATTCAATTTGCAAAATAATCTTAAAGGAAAAGACGAGCCCCAAGTTGACCCACTTTCAACTTCCAACAGGTATTTCTGAACTTACTATGGCTATCAACTGCCTTGGATACTAAGACTTCAATAATAAAGTTATTTTTTTAAAAAATAATACACCTTTTCTCTCAACCCTCTTCATTTTGTTCATGAAAGAAGAAATATACTAAGTACATTAAAATTTCATGTCTATATGGCAATAAAATATTCCAAGGAATTTACTTAAAGATCAGTTATTAATTAAAACTCCCTCTGGCTTGCAAAAAATCACATATAAATTTGACCATGAATAAATCAAAGGAACAATATTTAAAATATTTTATGAACCAGCCCTGTTCAGATGGCTTAGAGACCATGTGGCACCTGTAGAATTCCTTACATTCTACTCCATAGAAGTGTCCTTTTTCAGGCATAATACTTTAAAACTGAGGACTGTTTAAAAATTCAAATTTTTCAAGCTCCCAGGAAACCTTAAAATTTCTTATTCATCGAAGCCTTCTTAGTAGCAAGGACAGAAGCAGAACTCAATCATGCTGAAAGAGAGAAAAGGATATTTGATGGGTGAAATTGGGAGGCTGTAGGGATGGGAAGAGCTACAGTCACCATGCCCCTTCCACATCCTCTTCTACCCAGGCTCACTTTGTTCTCCCAGGCAAGTTCTGTACAAGGCCAAGACCACAGCTTCTGTATAGTTCTCGTCTCACGTCATCCCAGCTCCACAACTAGAGCTAACAGATTTTCTTTAACTCTTTCAGCTTTGATTAGAGTCACATTAACCTCTGTCCATATCCATATCCAGGCCACAACCATATCCAGGCCAGTCAAGAGACCAGCGGAATGGGGTATAGTGATAGTCAAGCCTAAATCCTATCTTCTTCCCCAGTACTGAAGGAATTGGAATACTGTGGTGGGAGAAGGTTGGTACTGCAGCCTGATGGTCCAAGAAGGCAAGAGAGCTTTTATTCAAGCCTTAGGGTTACACTAGAGATGCTCAAAGTCCAATCAGCATGAGGTCCACCTGCTAGTATGATACAGGTAATAATGTCAAACCCTCGAATGGAGGATCTATGATCTAAATCAAAGCAAAATCCCTGTTCAGTGCAGCCCTCTAAAAAGCAAATGCCTTGAAGAGCTAGATGGTTCCCTCCAGTTCTATAGATCCTGTGGGCCCACCTGACCACGACCCCAGAAGATGCAATCAAGAGGAATCCAATTAAGATTTCCACCATGAGATCCTCAAAGCCCTGTTCCCATCCCATCCTCTAGCATTACAATTCTAGCTCCAGATTCAAATTTGTCTTCATTGCTGAAGCTCATGATCTCACCTTGAGCTCTCCTCTGCTTTCATACATGAAAACCCCTCATGGACCATTCCGGAGCCATGCCAGAAAATTACCCTTGCTAATTGCAATGAAATAAAGAAAACCTCTGTGCCAAGCAGCAAACCTAGGCTATCTCTACAGCAACTGTCAGGGAAAAAGCAATCCAGAGTCACATTCAAAGGGAGAACTGAAAGTATTGTGCTCTCTCAGGAAATGAAAAGAAAATTCACATCTTTACTTTTGTCTGCCAACAGATGTCTTTACCTTGGAGGATGCCCTTCCTTCCTGTGGATGGGTCCGGCATCCGAGGGCTGGCTCAAGCCAGCAAACCTACTTGAACCACCTGATTCTCCCACCTCTCTGAAGAATACTGAATCTTAATGATATTTCTTGCAGATATACATTAATTCTACATTGTTCCAGTCAAAGAAAATGCCATGTTC